GAAGTGGGGTCTGCAGTGCTGATGGTGTCGGTTGGAGTGCTTGGAGTCCTCAGCGAGCACTAGGAGCATCGATTGGCGGAGGTACTCAGTCGGAGTGCCAGCGTTCCGTCACATAGGGCATGCAGTGTTTGTGTGTAGGGGTCTAGTATGTGTATAGTGGATGTAGTGTGTGTGTCTGTCTAGGGCATGCAGTGTTTGTGTTCATGGTGGTAGGAGTCAGTATGTACAGTGTTTCTGCTTGAAGAACATAGTTGTTGTTAATTGCGTGCCAGGGGCTAGTTGCACCCTCCGTACATGTGACGTAGGAAGCCCAGAAATCTGGTCCGGGCTAGCGAATATCAATTCTCTGCATATTTTGTATCTGTCGTCTGCACCCTCTATACGCTGGCAACAGACGAGATAATAAGATAGCTGTCCCCTCCCTCCACTCTATGGGCTCTCCCTTCCGTGTCCCTCTGGTAGTTCTATAGTACTTTTTTTAAATTCCTCGCCCGGTCTTCATTTCCATCTTCATCCCCTCACCAGCTCCGATTGTGCTTTGTAAGCCGGCAGAAGGTCTAATCATAGTCTTCTCTATGAGAAGCCCATAAATGGACTACGCAAGTTCTTTGTGTCAGGAAAAAAGCCCCTGGAGCTTGAAGTCAGGTATTAAAATATCTTTTTTGAGCAGGTTTGATTGCAAGCAGAGGGCAATATTACACAGAAAAGAGGGTTGGTGTAACCCTTGAATTTGTAAGTACCTGACAAATTAAAAAATAACATTGTGGCCCCCCTGCCCATTCTTACTATGGGCCAGGGAGGTGGGACATGGTTACCCTGTGATGAGAGATTCTACCTTTGATGGGTGCGGACCGTGTGTTTCCTCTCAGGAGATGTGGTACTGTGATACTATCAGAGCATTGCCATGGTACCCTACCGATGCTCTTAATGGCTAGCTCTTTTGGGAGGAATATGTTTCAGTCTGCACCTTCTGAGGGTGCAGGTTAGAATCTTCCTGGCCTTCTCATCCCTGGTTACACTGGGATGTTGAGGGAGATGTTTAATCTCCCCACTGGCCCACGAAGATGCACGCACCCATCTTCCCTGTCAGCCCCAGCCCATGGCAGTCACGGCCCCGATGTCCAGACCTGCCTGTGTGAAGGATGCTTTGTGTTTTGTCAGAGACAGTCTGGTGTTCGGGAGAAAACAAGTCACCACCCAAAACTATTGCACGCTGATTTACAGCATACTCAAAGATTACTCCAACATTGACCATCCCGGAGACGAAACAGAGGAATGTGGGTGCCCTCAGTATTAGGGCTTTTTGCTAGTTTTTACTTGTTAATACTCGAGAAACTTTTATACCAACCTCTGACTGATCCCTTAGAATATGAGAAAAATTGAGTGTGCAATAATAATATATGAAGGCACTAATAAAGCTGTTTTACCTGGTAGTGTGTTATTGTATCTCACATTCTGAATATGAGCACTATTTTCTTTTTATTCAGTAAATCTTCCCCACCAATGGGAATCGCTGGTCTCCTAACCACAAGGCCGTGTGTAGCTCTAATGGCAGAGGTGCCACAGAGCCCCCTGATTGGTCTGTCTCGGAGGTGTAATCACTTGCATGAATTTGGGGATGATGCACAGTTAGGAGCCCATTCACAGCGCCCTACCCATGCACCGACCTTCTGATCCACATGGCAGACCATGCTTTCATTGCACTTATTTAAATTGATTCTACCCTGCACTCTCATCTTTTATTATGCATTTTGTAGTCTTCATTCTTTTGTCACTTTTTACTTTCTTTTGTTGTTGTTGTGTGAAAATGCCGCAGTAGGATCTGATCCAAAGGAACCTTCTAAAAACAAGTTGGGTCTTTGGGCTTTCGAGATGGAATCTTTCTCCGATGATTTGGGATGCTTTCTTCTTCTGAGGAAGGCCTTGAAGAGTGCAGCATGCATAGCAGCAGATGGCAATGGATGGATCAATCCAAACCTACCAACTGATCTTATCTGGCCAGGGTGGGGAGGAATGTGGGGTACTCCAAATCCTCAAGGCATTTAGGGCTCAAAGACTGGTTCAGGCTGTCCATTGTGGCTTCTGCACAGGAGCAAAGTTGGCATGGGAAACTGAGAATGCTTTGCATTCAGAAGTCACTCATCCCAGAATTCAATTAAAGATAAAAAAAACAAAAAACACAAAAACAGCTTTATCAACAGCTGGGCACTGGATAATTTAGATCCTAATCTGTGCGGTGGAATAGGAAGTTGTTTCATAACGAGCAGGTTGTTGAAATGGAATCTGCCGTAATGTCTGTTATCTGAAAGTCTGATTTATATTTATATTTTTGGCGTAGCATTCTGGAAGAGGTGTGGAAATAGAGACTCGATCTTGGCACAAGGCTGCTGTGCCTGTTTATTCTTAATTTTCTGCTTGATTTATAGATATCATACAGCAGTATAAGTTTGCAATACGTGATACATAACGATAAAGTGTTTTCTATGGGAAATAAATATACAGTACTTTTTAAAATTATTATTATTTATTTTATTTTTTTACTTACGATCAGGTTTGGGTTGGGCTAGGGCAAAAATCTGCTATTTGCAGCTGCAGTCATTAATTTAGTATATCTCCATATATTGATATCTTGGCAAATGAGGTGGGGAGAGAGAACCATGCTTTCAGTCTCCCCAACTCCTCCATATCATTATTAGGAGATGGTATGATTCAAAATGGTTGCAGCTGCAAAATGGCTGCCACTAATTTATGTTAGGTTAGGGCTTATATGTATATCTGTTCTGCCCTGATATCAGGGATCCCACGCTGCACCGTTTCCGACATACCATGCCTTGCACACACATTGATGATGTTGGCCAACTTGCAAATCAGATCACTTTATCATATATATATATATCTATCCATACACATAGGTGCGCACTGACCTCTCATCATGGACTGAGGGACCGACACCAGGAAGGGGCCAAGCAGATTGCTAAGTGTGCTGCAATGTGCATTGCCCTCCACGCAGCTTGCTCAACACTAACTTGAAGACGGCCTCTGCGTCATTACAGCTAGCAATCCGCAGGCCTCAGCCATCATTAAGCAGCTGTGCTTGTGTACACTGCAGCCCTCTGAGTTGAGATATTGGGGGGAGTTGGTGTTATGGTAAAATGACAGGGGGCACGTGGTGAGAGGAGAAAGGCTGAGATAGTACAAAGTGAGATAAATTGGGTGATGGGGAGACATGAGGAGAGGGAAATTGTGTGGGGTGAGTGTAAAAGAGGGGGGATTTGGGTGAGGTGTTGCAAGGGGAGAGGCACAAGAGGACAAGATGGCACAAGGTGAGAGGAAATGAGCAAGGGGTGGGAGTATATATATATTATAACATGGGGTGGGAGTATATATAATATATAACATGGGGTGGGAGTATATATACTCCCGCCCCTGAGAAAAATTAGACGAAGTAGGGGGAGAGACACAAGTGGATAATTAGAGCGGGTAAGTGACAATAGTGGGGAATTGGGAGACGGGTACCAAGTGTCCCAGGAATTAGTGAGGGAGAAGAGGGATATGTTAGGGGGACAGGTTGAGTTGGGAGTGGGGCAGAAGAAGCACAACTGAGGAACTGAGGAAGGGAAGAAGTGCAGTGTCTGTGTGTATGTGTATCTACCTGTGATTCTAGCTAGATAGAATTAGTAGATTGTAAAATATTTTAACATTCGTATTGCATAGTGTGGAACAGAACTTTTCTTTGCGTCTCAGTGAAACAGTGGAGACACACCTGTCCTGAACTGCATAAGGTTGATGGGAGTAACCAAGATTCAGGAAGCAAACACCCCATTTACTATACATGGTGCTGTGTGAGCAGCGCCCCCTAGTGCTGTTTATTGTAAGAAAGGTGACTTGCAGCAAACAGTACAAATCATGTACTAAGTAAGGACCCTGAGACATTAGTATGGCAGTGGGACTATTGTACAGGGAACCAAACAGGTCAGAGGAGAAAGGTAGTATATGTGTGTCTAGCTGTACCTGCACAGAACCACAACGTGTGTGTCTGTATTTGCTTGTGGCCATGTGTGAGAGATAGAGATATTTAACATAATTTGATAGAAATAAAAACTATAGTATAATATTCTAAAATTCAGAAAATACAGAAAATCATTAGTCCGCAAGTTATTTTCTTAACGGCTACAATAAATTGTCGAGAGATTAAATTCCCGATAAGAAAAGCGGTCTTAAAAAGGACAGCACCAAGCTTTCTGCAGAATAAAATAAATTTAAATTGAATTTCCCAGGGAAGTTATGAACAGATTTGGAGCAGAGTATCGGACACCCACATAGTCTACGCTGGAGTTTGCAAGAGATCACTGAGAACCTCAAACTCCAGCTTATTAAAGATGACCTCTGACCTCTCTAAAATTTCAAAGCTGATGTTAAAAGTGCTGAACAGACTGTGTGCCATATGTAATGTGACCTCAGCTCTTGCTTGCATTCATGGCATCACTAATGAGAGGTAAAAGGGCCTATTCTTCTCTCAATTCCCCCCAACTCACCCGCACGGGCAGCGTATCATTCTTTTTTTACAGACAAATTTCTCTACAATTCTCAATGTCACAGCACGTTCGTTTTATACTTATTCATAGAGTACACAGAACAATCATTTTGTTTATGGCTATTGACTAACGTTTTCAGATAATAATAATAAATATAACATAAAGTTTGTTTATATGTATGTGTGTATATTTTTGTATATGTATGTGTGTTTTATTACATACCAGTTTGTATGTGTGTTTATGTATTTTCTTATTATTTATCTAAACCACTTTGTTTAGACAATTTATTTGTCTTACTAACGCTAATATTATTTTTGTTCTTTAAACAGAAAACAACAGATTGTAAATACTGACTGCAAATGAAGTCTACTGTATTCCTTCTAGAAGATGTACACGTTTCGACTCATGGTAACGGTTTGAGTTTCATTACGTCAACGTATTTTGATAGAACAAAATGTCAGCAGTGTATTTCTGTGTTTGGAACCTTCTGCTTGCTCCATTGCAAAGTTAAGGTTAAAGGAATGTAAATACGTTGATCCTCAGGATGTGGATAGGGGTCTTTTAGACAGAATGCTGAGTGAGCTTTCAAATGAAAGTGTTCATATTCTGTGTTGTTCTAACCTCCTTAGATCAGATTTCCTGCAGGTAAGTCTCCCCCCTAGACATTTTGTGCAGTGACTGTGTGGCCTTTATTTTGTGTGGGGGTAAGGAATAAAGTCTAAGTTACAATATTGAAGTTTGCGATAGATTCTGAGATAATAGAGCAGTTATCTGATACTGTGCAAGGGACCCTACAGCATTTGCACAGCGAGGAGATGACAGCTGGGTCCCATGAAATACAATTCAATGAACAAAAAAAATTGCTTTTGTGGTCAAGCTTAGAGGCCTTGTGTGTTTTTTATTTTTTCGGGTTTTTTTCCCTCTAGGTTCCCTTTGTACGGCTGGGCACTGTGCCACGACGCTACTGCTGTGCAACTTCAACTCCATTGGTGCTCGGCCAAAGTCTGGCTTAGCATTGTAAGAATTATAGCCGAACAACAACTGATCCTTTCTCGTTCCTTCTTCAGAGAGTAATATTGAATTATTACAGAAAGGTTAGTCACGACCATATGCACTCCAAATGGAAACTTGAATCCAATGTCCCTGGTAAAAAAAAAAATATATATAGTGAATATATAACATAGCAAACATTTGTCCCTTAAAATAGTGATCGCCAAGTTTTTTTGTTTTTTTTAAATAGCACTAGAATGACATGTTTTGTGTGTGTGTGTCGCAGAATGTAAAATTTAAATAATTTTTGAAAGTGCACTGTGCAGAGCTCGTTCATTTAATTGTAATAAACTGCCACAATCTTACAGTCAGCATGTGCCATACAGAATACAGTAACATAACACAGAACTTCCTTTCATCCCCTCATCATATATTTATTTTTCTGTAATTTTGCTGAGCCATAGATGAACAAAGTTCCAGCGCTAATTGTTCTGCCTGTTCTTTCTGCAAAACAACATTCTAAAATAAAAATTGACACAGGACACAAAGTTATATTTGCTGAACAGTTCATTGTGGTGAAATGAAAGAAAAATATGCCAAAACAGAAGCATATTACAGTTTGGGTTAATATTCTATGGTGGCTATATTACCTGGTGGTAATTTTTGTATTTGGTTTTCAATTTATCACAATCTGCTATTCGGTAAATAAATAGTTACACACTAATTGCTGACATGAAGCACCAACTGTCAGGTCCACAAAAAATGCATCACAAACAGTGAATAGTAGCAAGATTGTACCTATTTTTGATATTTTACGTTTGCTAAAAAGTACTACAGAAAGAGACATGACGGTAAAATACCCAGCGGCGGCCTTGGTTACACAACCCATGGATTTTAGATACTCAACTTAGAAAGCAACACACAGAGTTCATTGTGTTCACATCATATAAAATATTTGGATAATTGTAATTGTTATTTAGTAATTGTCTATCTCCTTAGATCAGTGGTGTAACACTTTGTTGGAGTCCCCAGCAAACTCTGCAATGGATGCCGCAGTGCGGGGCGCCGCTCCTGCTCCACTACAATAATCCCAAAAATAAATAAAATAGTATCAGCTTTCTCTTATTAACAATGGTTTGCAATAGAGGGGCGGCTAGCTAAGTGGGAGTTGAGATCTAAAATTTTGTGTGCTTAAACCTCTGTCATTGCTCGCACTGTTGACGCATCACTGTAATGCTTTGAGAATAGGCTAGTGATTACACTGTGTTGGAGAGTGTGTTGCTAAGAACGTGCACATAACGCAGGGAGGGTAATCTTGCAATAAATATAATGCACACTGAAATTCGTCACAGATTAATATTATCTAAATATTCTGCAGCACAGTTATATCAGAGCAAGTCAAAATAAATGTCAACAGACACAAGAGGCGAAGAAGAGCCTTTAACCAGGAGAGATAGTTTAAACCAAAAACAAAGGGGACCAAGAACGGACCTTGGAGTACTCCAACTAAGAGTTGGTGCCGCAAAAAGAGAGGCTATGTTAGTGTTGGCGAGAACCAACAAGGGACAGAACTCTGACATTTTCATATTTAAAATTACACTATTCCCAGAGGTTTAGATCCAGGGCATTTGGTACAAAATAAAGGACTTTCAGATAGAATTACCTTCTTTATTTTAAGTACATTATCTCTACAATGCAGTAACAAAAATTGGCGGTAAATCTACCTTTAAGTGTTCTCTTAAAATTCCTTGCCCCAGGCAGTTTCCCAGTCCATCATTTAGACTGTAATTTTGCCTCCTCAGCTATACTGCATAGGCTTCTAACTCCCGGGTCAGGGCCTAATACTGAGTCTTTTTGGTGACTTTATAACCTACCAATAGTCATTTATGTAACATTGTTAGTCATATAGAACAAAGTTAGGCTTTTCAAATGATTTCATATTTTTATACTTGTTTGATATATTGCTATATAATTCTTTTAATATGTTCATATTTTTGGACATTTTAATTTAATTTTTTTTTTTTTATAAGATCATTGTAAAAGCTTATTCAAAAACATTAAATTGTTTGACAGCTTGGATAAAAATATGAAGCTCCATCAGCATCAGCCCGTCCTTGCAAGCTCGCTGTCTTGGTGCTATCTTCGATACTGACCTCGGCGTTACACCTCACGTCCAGTCTGTTGCCACATCCTGCCGATTCCACCTTAACAACATTGCCCACTAGTTTCTTATTCAAGATGCTGCTAATTCCTCACATTGATTACTTTAATTCTCTCCTAATTGGTCTCCCCAGGAGCCGTACTGCCCCCCTACAGTCTGTGGTGAATGCTGCCGACAGGCTGATCTTTCTCTCCTGTCGCTCCTCTCACACCTCACCCCTCTGTCAGTCCTTACACTGGCTTCCTGTCCCCTACAGGAGTCAATTTAAAATACTAACCCTCACCTATAAAGCTCTAACCAACTCTAGCATTTCTTCCCTGATCCATAGGTATGCCCCCTCTCGGTCTCTCCGTTCTACCGGTGACCTTCTCCTGTCTGCTGCTCGCACCGTCACTGCTAACTCGCACTTGCAGGACTTTTCACGGGCAGCTCCTTTCGTTTGGAACAGTCTGTCTACCCCCGTCAGACTCTCCCCTAGTCTTTAATTGTTTAAGAAGTCCCTTAAAACCCATCTGTTCAGAAATAATTATGGACTTCCAGAGTAACTTCTATATCACATATCTGTCTCTTGCACTGTCTTAAAGGGCCATAGTCCACTCTCACCTCCAGTTCTGCTACTCTCCCACCTTGTTGTTTGGTTACGATCCCCCACTCAGCCCTTCTTGTTGTGTTTTTATACCCCACCTCCTCTAGACTGTAAGCTTGTTTGTTCCTGTAACCTATTGTTCCTGTAACATTTTCTCTAATTTATTGTTAAATGTACCACATTTCATAATATTGTAAAGCGCTACGGAATAAGTTGGCGCTATATAAATGCCAATAATAATAATATCACCCCGTTCTCATGCCGATCAGTTTAAAACCGACAGTGTTGCATTCTGGGAATTATTGTCTAATAACCGGTATACCTGACCGGTGATGTTAACAATGCATTCTGCTTTTAACATACAGAATTTGCCTGAAACGACTGGTGAAACTGACTATAAAATATCTTGCTTGTTACTTGTAACAAATTCTTTGACAACAGAAAGAGCTGTGAGATTCTTTGTCTGTGAAAGAGCGCCCTCTGTTAGCACCGGCTGTAAATAACATGCTTGTTATGAGCCAATATTGTGTATAAATCATTTACCCTGTAAAACCTCTGTGTAATAAATAAACAGCTAATATTCCTTTAACTGATGGAGAGCAAAATGGTCCGGCTCACAAGTCCATTAGCAGCTGCAAGCAATGTAAAGCAGGACTTTAACTCCCACAACTCAGAAGCCTGAGGAAAAGTTTGCTGTTTAATATTGAGGATTTCTGCGGGTACTAAGTCGCAATATTTACTGCTGCACCTTTAAACAGGAATCCACACAGTTCTGGTTAAAGCAGAAAAATACTTAAAGGGACAATTCAGGAGCCAAAACACATTTTTATGAAAAAAATAAATAAATAAAAAAGTTAATTAGCTTTTAAAGTGTGTCACTGCTAAGCTGGCCTGTCTGCAGTGTCACTGATTAATGGGTCTGTCCGGTGATTTACTATTGAGAAAGCTGTGAGCCTTGCATGCCCAGTGCACAGCTCGACTCTCTCTGTTGAGAGGACAATTGGAACAAAATTGACAGTAAGAGTGTTGGACTGCCAGACTGACATTTTTGTGAATTCCTGCCGCTATAAGCCCGTGTCAGACATGGAACATATATGTAATGCTTAGACATACCCTTTAATCTCCACTCACCTTCTGTAGGACATCACAGAGAGAGTATAGCTTGCCCCTGTACATTGTCGGTCCTGCACAGTATTCACATGCAGTTCGTCTTAAAGAACTGTCGTCAAATCTCCACTTCTCGTTTTTTTAAATTTCAAAATATAATGAATCTTGATAATATTATTCTTTAAATTATGTACTGTATATTGATTTTTATATATTTTTTTTCTCTCTAAAAAATGTCACTTTATATCTGGCTGAGCGGGCAGCCACATTGGGCCAAACTGTACTGTTTTCTGACCAACTGCTGCTCAGTCTAACTTGCCCGCTGCTGTGATTGCTCTGTGCGAACCTACAGCAGCAGCAGAAAGCTAGATTGAGCAGCAGTTGGTTAGATAATGGTAGAGTCTGACCCAACATGGCTGCTCAGACAGATAAAAAAGTCACATTTTTTTAATAAGAAAAAAATATATACAAAATTAAAAATATATTTCACAAAGTTTCATTAAATGTTATAAACGTTTACAAAATGAAAAGTGAAAATGTGATCTTCCTATAAGAGAGGTAAATAAATAGTAGCTGCTAAGTATTCTTGGCTGACCCAGCAGCAAGTAGCTTCAGTCGTTAAAACCATAAATGAAGCTACTCACACATGATAATAGGAGCCCGTTTAAGAGACTATACTATATAGGCCTAGCAGTCAGCACTAACATCCTATACACTAACACTGCCATGGCACAATAGATAGGTTTCTTAGACATGTTCAGCATTGAACATATTTAAATATACATGTCTATAAACATACATATATAACGTGTGTTTTAGGTGTGACATCCAACATACAGAAATTATGATAATATATCTGTTAACAACGTTCACTGCATTCAAAAAGTTTACAGACCCCTTTACTATTTTTTTTTAATGTTGCAGCATAATGCTCCAATTATTTAATTTTTTTTTCTCCACATCAGTCTTTTATACTCAACACCCCATAATGACGAAGCCAAAAAATTCAAAAGGTTTGTTGACATTACTGCAAATACCGTTTTTTTGTTCTAATAGATTTGCACGTTTTCAACAATCTGGTTTTTGCTTTTGTCATTATGGAAATGTACTGTCCAACTCCTCATACAGTCATAGACCCCGTCATATCATTTATTTGTAGAGAAGCTTTAATAGCATCGGGCAATTCTCTTATAACAATACACGAGTACAAGGGATACAATCTTCTGACATCACCAAGTGATCAGTGACCCCTAACTTTTCAACAAACAGAACATTGTGTTATTTTCCTATACAAAAACTATATTTCATGGATATATGATAACATATGGATTTGTAACCATGGTAAAACCTCTCAGTGTCTGGTTTTGGCTTGGAGAGGTACGCCATGTGTAATTTAATGTTCCATGCCAATTTCATCATTATTACACTGTCCTATATCCATTACCAATGGGATGCTGTACTACTAACAATGTGCATCATCAACAAGTCTGTCTGCACTAGAACCGAAAGGAAGTAGAATTTTGCCTCTAAGGATACCAACCCGGGGCACCTCTTCCTCACTGCCAACATAGGTGAGCTTTATGTCATTGTGTGTATGCATGTAGATATGTGTTTGTAACTGAGTGGCTAGTTATGTGTGTGTAACTGTTTAGGTGTGTGGGTGGCTAGTTATGTGTATAGCTAGTTGTGTGGTTGGGTAGTTAGCTGTATATTGTAGTATGTGTGCACATGAATGTTACCCACATGCCTAATATATACATTCACACACTTTGCAAATGTAATGGTAGGAGTGCGATATAGTGTTATGGTGGGATATGCTTCGGTGTAGGTGAGCTATGGGGAGGAAAAACCATAAATGGATAGAAATAGGACGTGTCTAAATGTATCGTATAAAGTTACGCGCGCAAACCTTCACTTTCACATTTCATGTTTATTAATGAGTTTTGTTCTATTGGAAGATTATTATGTGTTTTAATAAATAGCTTATAAAATTATTTACCTGGAAAAATATTACACAAAAAAAGTATTTGAATCTTGTGTAGTCTTCATTTATTATGGAAGCAATGTTATTGCTTCCAGCAAATTTATTTTGTTTGTTAATATCAGAGGATTGAAACTGTAGTCATCGAAAAGGCAAGACCCCAAGGACATGACATGTTCATAAGGATGGATTCCTTTAAAACATGTAGTGACAAAATATACACTTTTCAGATTTCATTGATATCGTTAAGAAATATTTATTAGCATCAGACAGTACAAGCAAAACTCTCGTATTCTGTATATATAGTATTTCTCGTATTATATACGTATAGAGAAAATATTCTGTGCCTTTTCCATCTATTTATCAGATACCTCATTTGTTTCCAGATTTGTACATTTCAAGGCAAATTCAGAAATTTTTTATTTTTTTATTTTTTTTTAATTCTCCTCTTTAGATTAGTGCGCTCATTTCAGACAACAGTAAATTTAGTTTAATTGAGCAAGGATTATTCTCTAAACTCCCAATTATAACAAATTCAAACCTGATTGGAAAATGTTAGTACAAACGCTGAAATGGAAACATTTCTTCAACTCAACAATAGCCACAGCTTGATTATTTTTTTTTATTTTATTTTTTTTAATAAAATTTTGTCTTTGCAATTTTAATTTGTTCGAATTCTGAGTTTAGCGAATAAACCTGTTCGAAATTATTTTTGGACGGATTCATGGAGAAGCCAAACATTTTGTGACTAGCTCTCCTTGTGTGGTTGGTTTTCATTACATAATCCGACTTAATTCCCTGTCTGAATTAAATTAGGTGAAAAACATGTTACGAAATATTTTTCTCTGATATTTAGATTAAAAGAAAAAGGTGACTATTGTTCATGTTTGTTGCTAGGAGACTTTTTCTCTGCATGTACCAGCTATTTAGTGTCATATCATGCAATCTTTGACTTTGTACTATTTTGTCAGCATTTTATTCCAAATCAGCCCGACATCTTGAAGTAATCAGAAGCTGAAAAGGATTCGCCCCCCTGGCATCTCAGGTTAAGTAAGGCGCTCTAGAAAAATATGGTAGGCCCATTATAGGTAACCTGAGCTGTATACATCAAGACTCCAATTGCCATTGCATTAGGATTGATTAGAGACCAGAAGTACCGTAATGACCTGGGGATAGGGGCAGCCTCGGACTGCTAATGGCAAACTCTCACTAGGCCTGAAAGTCTAATGTTACCAGAAGAATTTCTATTTGTGTCTGCCTATTTATCAGAACAAAACATAGATCTTGGATTAACATCATCTAGAACAATCCTGCACTGGGAAATCTAAACAGTCCTGTCCCAAAGATTTAATTAAAATTAATCATTGTTTTAGTTTACTTGTAAAAATATATGTAGATAAATGTTGATGGGGATGCGACCGTTCTTTCTCTCCCCCCTCCCCGTTGCTCTTCTCTATCCCAGCTGAAATGTAATTTGTAGGTTTTGTCTTTCATTGATAAAAGTAAAACCTTCTGTATTACTTTTTCACTATTTACATATTGCAGGAAGAAGGTTGTGGGCACAGGCCTCTAATTTAACATTTTACAAAGATTGCAAAACTGCAGAATTAAAGTATTCTTCCCATGCTGCTCTGAGACAGGGTGTGACCACAGAAAATTGTTTGAGGGGTCTACGAGAGGGCAAGTCAGAGTCCATTTTTTTTTCCTAGAGTCAACAAAGTGATTTCTTTAAATGTGGCTTTTTTTACTGCAAAGCAGCAATTGCTATGGAGTCCTAAAAATATTTGGTACCCAAGAGGTCCCTGGATTGCCTTATCCCAGCCTTTTCAACACAGAGGTGGGGGGGGGGATGTAAACCCCCCTTTAAAAAGCCTGTGGATGCCCCTTCGCAGTGAGTCACAGCACATCCACCCCATAGTGGGGCATCGAGTGAAGTTCACTTAATAATTAACTCCATCTTTCCAAACCAACTTAACTGTTTACTTAGTGTCACAGACTATTATCGTCAGTGGAGGAAGGCTGGCTGCAGCCTAATAAACGAAATTGTTCCTTCCTTGTTCACATGGCGACGTATTAACCAACTAATCGTGTAAAGAGTTAATTTTCATAGAGACTCTGAATCAAAAATATTTGCGCACTTTTTTCTTTTTCTTTTTTTTTTGAATGTAGATAGATGTAGACGGTTTGGCTGTATGTATGTTTCTATTTATGCCGAAATATTAAGCGTATTAGTCCAGTGATACAGATGTAAATAAAAGAAAAAGATTATCATATTATATTGTAATAATAACAATAATACCGTTGTATAGGACTAACAGAATTTACAAACAACAAATGTTTGAGAGATCCTCTACAGCACTGAGCTAACTATGTTGGCTCTATAATAAAGACCAAATATTTGTAATTGTGTCATTTATTGTTAAATCCCACCCCCTTTATATTATTGTAAAGCTCTGCAGAATTAGTTGGCGCTGTGTATAAATACCAATACTAATATAAAATAATGTGTCGAGAGCCATTTCTATGATGCTATAGATACCGTTTCTCTCTCGCCCTACATCTCCCGGGTTAACATAAAGCAAAAAGTAATTTTAGCCAGTTTTCTGAAAACAAAAACATTTTCTTCTTAATAAATAAATATAAATTCATTGTGTGGAAAATAAAATCGTTGCTGTACAGTCACTATATTCCTCTCTATTTTCTGTGCAGATTGTACTTATATGAAAACACAAAAAAATATATTTCTCAACCTGGGAACTGGATACTCCCTTAGTCTATACATTTTGTAATAAATATTTTCTAACATTTCGTTATTTGTAAATGTGCAGTTAATTAAACCCAAATTGTAAAATTCAGACTGAAATAGCTGATCCAGAAACATTCTCCAGACTAAAATGACTGATCCAGTAACATTCTCCACTTTGCTATAGTCACATCTGGTCTATTTTGGTCTCAACCTTCCAATTCTCATTTAATTCACTAAAATTCGGAGTTTAGTGAATTTTGTGTCTGTGTTGTTCTAGCCTTCTCTTGCGCCTCTTAACTTCTGTTGCATCTCGGAGGCCTTAAGGCCATGAAGCATAAACAGGACAAAAGGGACAGTCATCCTGCTTCTCAGGACAAATTAAGGGGACTCTCATGGCCCTGTCTCAGTGTCCTCACCTCCTCAGTTTTGTTTATACAGGTGTTCACTCAGTAATTACTCCTGCTCATTAAACTGTCCCCTTTGGTTTATAGATTTTTTTTTTCCGCCAAGATCTTCTAGACCCCAACAGATATATATTGAGGGCTTTAAGGGTTATTTAGAAAGAAAATACAAATGCTTATTGTTTTGGTAGGAGCACCGGCTATCTTAGAGGCACTGGTGGGTACAGCTCCCTTGTGAGAGGAGGAGGCCAGGGATGGGGTGTCACGTTGCAGATTCTCACTAAAGATAACGAAATGTGATCTAGTTTTGAGAACAGCAAGTGGTTGGAAAAAAAAAGAAAAAAACCTTTCAAACACAAAACTCATTTACTAATGGACTGGTTTTGTGTTACCCATCTCAGTGTACGGGAATGACCAGAGATGAATAATCTCTATATTCTGCACATCTAATTAGCCCAGGCCAGTCATCCTGTGTGCAGTGCTTATGGGGGGATGTCATTGTGTGTGCACTAAGCCTGGCCAGCTCCCACATAGAACATATTATTGTTTGGGTACCCGAGGAGGACTTACCCCAAAATCATAACATTGACATAAAAACTAATAGCAGATGGTCACATATATTTAACATGTACATGAGTCAAACTGTATAATGAGTAAAGAAAATTATAATTGTATATATACCTGTTTATTTCAAAAATGGATTATTACATTATTATATTTAATTTGACTTTTTGGCCTTGTTTCTATACTTGGATATGTGTGTGTATACCATTTTTATTTAGGTCATTTTTTTGCTGCTTAAACCGATAATTAAGCAAAACAATATATTCATATATAGGTGAACCAATTAGATTTGCTGTTGAAACAGAATAGTTGTGTTCAAATAGGAATCACACACACACACATTGTGTCACTGAGTCTAGCTGTTTTCACTGACACAAAGTTCAATAATAAAGACTGGGTTTGTATTTTTTCTAGCTTGCTTGGTTTATGCAGAAATGAGCATCTGCAACTCCTATCATTCTAATCCAGTCATGCTGGCAGAAGGCTATAGGAGTCATGATCCCAGCCAGCTGTAAATCTAAGCCCTGTCACCCCATGAGGGTCTGGCTGCAGTGTAAATGTCACTCTATACATATTATAATATTATATAGGGATTGCCATGGACACAGTGCAGACAGCAGTCTCCCTTTAGGTAACAGGATCCCCCACTCCTCTGTTTTATAGGATTAACAGCAAAGAATCCCTATTTTTGGGAGGCTGGGGCTCTGTGGGCTCCCTGTGCACCCTTGCCCCAGCGTTTAGGGTATGCTCTGAATTGGGAGCAGGCTAGAAGACTCGGTCCCCCAGCTGCCTTGTCAATAAAGATCTGCTGGGACAGGACACATTCCTCCTGACAGGGACACTGCAAGTCTTCATCTCCAGCTACAGCTCCCAAAATAAAACCATACTGACACAACACACGTGTGCACTCACAATCCTATCACTTCTATAGAGAGAGAGAGAGGTGTGTGTTTGGGGAGTATGTATATATATATATATATGGTTCTTCTCTAAACAAAACTCAATGTATCAAAATGAGAGAGAGAGAGAGAGAGTGTGTGTGTGTGTGTGTGTGTGTGTGTGTGTGTGTGTGTGTGTGTGTGTGTGTGTGTGTGTGTGTGTGTGTGTGTGTGTGTGTGTGTGTGTGTGTGTGTGTGTGTGTGTGTGTGTGTGTGTGTGTGTGTGTGTGTGTGTGTGTGTGTGTGTGTGTGTGTGTGTGTCTACATACAATATTTATTTATTTATAAAATATTTTACCAGGGTGGATACATTGAGATTCTCTGGTTTTCAAGTACGTCCTGGGACTCACTCTCTCTCTATATATTGTATGTACCTCTTACACATACTGTATACATATATTTAGATACATTGAGTTTTGTTTAGAGAAGAATTCTATGGAACGTTCTGAAACTGGAGCAAAGCAAAACATTCCATTAGTTGCCATGGTGACTGCGCCTCTTTAGTACGTTGATACGTCATAGCATTTTATAGACAACTCATTCTGGGCCGTGTTTTAGGGCAATGGGATTCTCACAGCAGGTAATTGCAATTGTAACTGTGTGTCCTACAACTGCCCCATATTTATTATAATTTATTTTATTTACTCCCTTTGGGTGAAATAACTGGATGTAACAAAATAAATAAACAATTAGCTATAATGTAAACACGTGTTTCTTATGATGTGTATGTGTGTATATATATTATGTGTATTTATATCATATATTTATATCTTAGTGTGTGTGCTTTTCTCTCCCAGGTAAGTGGCAATGCATTTAATTACCTTTATTTAAAGTGAATGCTGAACTATAATTAATCAATGAACAGTTCCAGGCACAAAGCATATAATTTGCCCCAGTCCTGTACTAAGTGCTATGTGAAAAGTACAAAGCAATATAATTTTCAGGCATTCTGTCACCTCTCGGCTCCTTATCACACAGCATTGTTCTGATCTCCTAGCCTACCCTGCTACCAACAATACCTTATCTTTGTTTGCAGAGGCTAATTGTTTAGGTGATTTTTTTTGTTTTTTTTTTAATAATTGCTTTCAAACAAGGTGTGTAAATGAGGATTAGCATAATTAGAGAGACATTTCTTTGTACATATTCACTAAATACCATTTCCCCATACACCAAAAGCAAACGATATCCTTTAAAATGATTTTACAGACTTCACAAGAATAAAAAATAAAAATACATGCATTATTTTTTTTTAAAATGCTTCTAGACAAAATATTTGTATTATTATTTTTTAAAAATTTTTAATGTATTTATTTTAGGGAATCACTATGTGTGTGTAATGTATACATGGTCTAGAACCTACACATCTGATAACATCCTATGGGAAAGATGCATTTTTATAAATGAATCATTTATCAGGTCTGCAGAACCTATTCATCAAGTTATGAATTATTCACTCCAAACATTAAGGTAATTAAATACCAGTTCACCTGAAATCCACAATGACATTTTTTGATTTTTTTTTTTTCTTCACAAAAGGTCTGCTGTAATAATTGATTTGTGCAGAGATGAGTCTTGGCCCCTTTAGGTGATACTTGAGAAGGGGCTCATGTTGCAGAGCCCTGACGTGTCTCCCCCCTGAGGGCAGTAGCTTCCCCCCCTCACCCCCCCACCTCCTTGCCCTCCCCACCCTCCAGTCTGTGCTCCATGCTCTGTCCTGTACACAGCCTGCCCCCATAGGCACAACCAATCAGTGCTCAGAGCAGACAGGAGCTTTAAGGAGACATGTACTAGAACGTTTAACAAACTTATATTCGTGTTCCAAGCAGGACCTGCTGATTCTCATTTGGGGGATTTCTCTGCCTACAGACCTGTGGATGTACGTTTTGTGAGTGGATTCTCCGGTGTATGTTTGCAGCTGTTTTCTCTGCTGTTCTGTGGCTTTGTCACACTGAGCCATGTCTATGCTGCCTTCTTTTGGCTTCACCCAGGAGCAAGTAGCTTGTGTGTGTGAGGTTCTGCAGCAAGGGGGGAATCTGGAGAGGCTGGGCAGATTCTTATGGTCCCTTCCAGCCTGTGACCACCTACACAAGAATGAAAGTGTCCTGAAGGCTAAGGCTGTTGTTGCCTTCCACAGGGGAAACTTCAGAGAGCTGTACAAGATTCTGGAAAGTCACCAGTTCTCACCCCATAACCACCCCAAACTTCAGCAGCTGTGGCTCAAAGCCCATTATGTGGAGGCTGAAAAACTGAGGGGGAGACCTCTTGGGGCAGTTGGAAAATACAGGGTGAGACGAAAATTTCCCTTACCCAGGACAATCTGGGATGGTGAAGAGACCAGTTACTGTTTTAAGGAGAAGTCCAGAGGGGTGCTGAGAGAGTGGTATGCCCACAACCCCTATCCATCACCTAGGGAGAAGAGGGAGCTGGCTGAGGCCACTGGACTTACCACCACACAGGTCAGCAACTGGTTCAAGAACCGGAGGCAAAGGGACAGGGCAGCAGAGGCCAAAGAAAGGTATGATGGAGCTCAGTACTGTGCTATTAATGAGTACTAACTGTGAGAATGAATGTATAAAGTAAATGTGGGCCAACGTTATAAAATGTAGCAATCAGTGGAATGTTCTGCAGATTGCCCCACTTAAAGAACTTTGCCCTAGAATTGCACTTCACACAGATCCCCCCCTTTGTGTGGCCAGGATATCGCTGCACAGTCTGTACGTCGAAACGTTAAATCCCTGCAATTTGTGCTAGAGAATCTCTTACTCCAGTACCAGACAAAGAGATCTAAACTATTTCAATTTTCTGTTATAAATCCACGTGGTCTGGGACCCTGCTAGCAGATCTATGTATCTTCAGAATAAAGCCAAAAAGTTAAAACACAAAATATCTAATAGACTGATTGCTTGGTAAACTGTCTGACCACAGCCTGCGTCCCCCCACCCCCCTCTCCTGTCACCATGTACCCCCTGCCCAACTCCACTAACACACAGTGAACTGGCCGGCTGGGAGCAGGACAAGAAGGGGGGAAATTGGGTATTTTTTTTCCCTGTGGCAATAAAATAAACAAATAAAGAGGGGACAGTAGAAGTGGTGTTTTTTTAGCTCACCACATGTTCTGCTGTGTGCTGGCTGTCAGTGTTAGTCTGCAAATACATTGTGTGTAGGAGTATGTGTTACATTCACACGGTGTGTGTACACAGCACGTTACATAGGAAAATTATTAGACAGAATTTATTAAATATACAAATATCCTACAATTATCCTCTATGACAGCTCGACACGTTTCACAGTAAAGTTAATTGGTCGTTAAGTGTGTTTACATGTAATTGCTTCATTAATTACAGTTTTTTGTACACCTCTTAATTTACTGCCAAAGAACACACATAAAAATGTACAGCTAAACCAATTAATCAATTAACACATTTTTCTATAATATTTTTTAAAATAAGGCTGACAATTAAATACAGTCTTTGCTTTCTCCCCAAAATGTTTTTTTTTATGTTTTCTTTTAATTTACTCTGTGCAATATTAATTATTTATACAATTATAAACACATAAATTATAATCTACTGTTGATAATATTTGGTATTTTTATAATTAATTGATATATCAGAAATTGGTATGTAAATTATATCATTTACTGCTTAATCCATCTTTTAGTTTTATTTAATACAAGTTTAACGTGCTTCGCTGAATTTTATGAATTTATATACATATACCTGTACATATTTTAATTTATTTTTTATTATTTTTTTGTTCATAGGGAAAACACTGAAAATAATAGCACATCCACCAACAAGCAAAATCAACTCTCTCCATTGGACGGTGGGAAATCCCTGATGTCCAGCTCAGATGAAGAATTTTCACCTCCCCAAAGTCCAGATCACAGCTCAGTCCTTCTACTACAGGGTAGCCTGGGCCACCCTGGAGGGTCTACGTATTCTTTAAACGCTTTAAATGCTACCCAGGGCAGTCACAGTCTGCAAGCACATCAACATCAACTACAGGACTCCTTACTTGGACCTCTTACCTCCAGCTTAGTGGATCTGGGATCCTAATTGTGATCTGTACCATCAGACAGAGACATTGAGCTGAGCCCCAGAGAATCCAGACTCTTTGTACATAGCAAGACATTTAATGCTCTGAAAACTCAGCTCATTCACACGGTACTTAATACGAGAACAGTGACTATATTAATATTATTATTATTATTATTTTTTAATTTCTTTCCATAATTTTTTTTTTTTTTTTTTAAATATTCGTCCATACCCGTCAAATGCTCTTATGATCTCATAGAACAATCCTGCAAGTAAGCCAAATACTGAGCAGGACAGAGGCACTAGTACACCCCCCCACCCCCTACCCCTCTCACCCTTTCTTTTAAAAAATAAATAAAAATAAATAACAAGCGTTTTGATCAACTTTCCATGCAAAATATAGGATATTCTAAACTGAAAGACATTATTGTGTTTTATTTATTAAGATCTTATTTTCCTGTTCTTTAAAGAAAAATGGTAAAAAAAAAAAATAATTAAAAAAATAATATCAAGAAGGATAAAACTGTGAGGACTTCTATACAATTTGAAAAAATTGGACGGGGCTAAGTTTACATTTTTTTTTCCATATTTAGTGTATAAAAACATAGAAAAAATAGTTTATAATAAAAATGCAGTATTAGAAAATTAACAGATATTAGCAACGAGTCTACTCTTGGCGCTGGAAACAACAAACAAAAATAAAATAAACAACACGTTTATTATAAAATATTGTCCAAAAATAAATAGATATTATAAATATTGACATAAATAGGAATCCTCTGCTAGAGGAGATTCTGTACTCAGACAGGAGGGTAGTGGGTGCTTAGTGGATACAGATATAAAAGGAATAGAAGTCAAATAAATTGTTGCCAATTATGAACAGGGGAAGATGGTAAAAATTAATTAATGGGTCTTCCCTGTAGTTAAAATGACATAGTAATTCAATTGAGGTTTTTAGCTACAAAGCCATGCTATTATTAATATTACCATCATTTATATAGCGCTAACATATGCCACAGCGTTTTACCATTATAACAACTAGTAATTAACAGACACACGAGGTGAAAGTAACTGTATGTATCATTTAATAAGCTCGGATTGGAAATAGATTTATAAAAATTGTCCCTTCTCACTGCAGAAAGCGGTGACTTTGGCTTTCATAGTCTTGCAAAAGGGGGGTGGGGGGGGGAATGCGCTAATGTTTGTTTTGCTACAGGTTTCTGCGCTGTAGTTGTGATCTGGGAAAGTTTTTGCGCAGAATTTGCGCACACTGGAGATTCTTGCGCAGAAGTTGCGCACAGTGAGGATTGTTGCGCAGGATTTGCACACAGCGAAGATTCTTGCGCAGAAGTTACGCTCAGCGCAGATGGCTGCGCTAAAGATACTTGCGCTAAGGAAATTTGCGTCACTTTAGAATATGAAGAGAAGCGTCAAATCAGGCGATTACTGGGCATCCCTCACCCATCAATCAAAATAACACAACTTTCATTTTCTTGTCGATAGCAATTGGAAACCATTAAGGACAGCAGCCAGAAAGCGCTAGACATTTATTATAACTTGTTATTACTAACTCTCTGAGTCCTTCAATCATTTCATAGTTAACCCTTTGAGTATCAGAGGGAACCCACAACTTTCTAATCTGAAAGAAAGAAAAATATATAATTCCAACCTGCAGTCTTTTTAAAAAATAAAATAAAATAAAAAATGGAGAATAGTCTGCCACTCATTTAAGTGATCGAGTTCTTTTTCATAGGGTACTATTATTTATTAATTTTAGCTTGTTTTCTATGGTAATGAGGGGGGTGATTATTTTTTTCCTGTGTAACAGCAGTAATCTGTGCTATTTATTAAATGGACAGTAATATTAAAACATTGTTTGCTGGCATTATTTGTTCTGTGATATATAGAATACAGGATATGTTAGAGATTCATTACTCCTTCTGTGCTGTCTGCACCCCTTATTCACTGCCTGCACCCCATTACTCTCTGCACCCCATTACCCTCTGCCTGCCCCCCATAACCCTATGTCTGCCCCCCTTACTCCCTGCCTGCACCCCATTACCCTCTGTCTGCACCCCATTACCCTCTGTCTGCACCCATTACCCTATCTATGCACCCCATTACCCTCTGTCTGCACCCCTTATTCACTGACTGCACCCTATTACCCACAATCTGCACCCCTCTGTCTGCACCTCATTACCCTCTGTCTGAACCCATTACCCTATCTCTGCACCCCAGTATCCTCTGTCTGCACCTTTATCCTCTTTCTGCACCCCATTACTCTCTGTCTGAACCACTTATTTTTTTCTGTCTGCACCCCTTAACCTCTGTTTAACGCCCGTATCCTTTCTCTGTACCCCAATACTCACTGTCTGAATCCCTTATCCTGTGTCTGCACCCTGTACCCACTGTTTACACTCCATTACCCCGTGCCTGCACCCCATTACCTTCTGTGTACACTCCTTACCATCTGTCTGCACCCCTTACTCCCTCCCTGAACCTTACACCCCCTGTCTGACCACTTAACCGCCTTTGTGCGCCCCTTTCCCACTGTCTGACCACCTTACCCCCTGTGCGAACAACTTACCCCTGTCTGTACCCCTTAACCACTGTCTGTACCCCCTACCCCCTGTGTGAACCCCTTACCCACTGTCTGCGCCTCTCTTACAATGCCTGCCTTCCTTCACCCGATCGCCCTCCCCTCTGCACCTCTCACCCCATTATCCCCTCTGTTCCTTGTACTACCCCCCTCTCTCTATGTCTCCTTCCCCCTCACTCCTCTCTCAGGCCCTGCTTCAGACATAGCCACTCTCTTCTCTTCTCTCCTGTCTGTCTCACTCACTGTCTCTCTCTCCCTCTCTCTCATATTTTTGTCTCCCCGCTCTCTCTCATGTTTCATCTCATGTCTCCCATTTAAATCTTTCTCTCATGTCCCAGACCTTTCTCCCATTTCATTCTCATTCTCTCTCTCTCTCTCTCTCTCTCTCTCTCTCTCTCGCTCTCTCTCTCTCTCTCTAGCTCTTTGTGTCTGTCTGTCTGTCTCTCTCTCTCTGTCTCCCTCTCTCTCTGTCTCCCTCTCTCTCTGTCTCCTCTCTTTCCTTGTCACTATTTATTCCTATTTTACCTTTGAGTCTCTTTAACGAGTTTCTATTCCATGAACTCTCTATCCGCATTGAACCTAATGTCTAATCCACTTTCCACACTTTCTCTCCTGTGTCTATTTTCCTATAACTGTCTCACTGACTGATAAAACCAGTTCCATCTTTGTATTTAATTTGTATCCATGTCTCATTGGAATCACTGTATCACCTGGGCTATTCTATCTCCCATCTCTCTTCCTATCCCATCCCCCAAAAAGCTAAACTCCTCCTCGGTAGAATAGCTGGTGGACCCCCAAAAAATCAGGGTCCCGGTCTTCTAGTAAGAAAATAAAATGCCCATTTAAGCCACTGCATTTTAATACATTCTAATGTGCCAGAAGTAATGGAATATTTTAATGTGTTTATGTAAAAAAATACAAGGTGAGTTTTTTTTCTTACATTACTTGAGATAATCATTTTCCCACAGGGCTATACCTTTAAATATGTAAAAATGCAATCTTTGGCAACACACAACACAAATCACAACAAAATCAGCTAAATCTGGACAAAAAGCACACAAATATTCTCAAACAAAAATATGCGATAGATCTTAGTTATTTTCACTGCATTTTTGTCATTGTTAAAATGCCACTGGTTTAAAAGTCATGACAATAAGGAAACCAATCCATAATATATTTATCCATCTTGTTTTGTCAGTAAAATATAGACCTTCAGCACTGGGGATATGTATATCCTCTTAAACCCCACACAGTTATCTGGGAGACCCACCATTCCATACACCTCCCTACCCCCTGTTCTCTTTAAGCTATTCTCAGCTCTCCTGCATTAGGTCCTAATACAAGCTTCCCCTCTGTACATCAGTAGGATAAATCCGGCCAGCTAATGGTCCCTTTTGTTGGTGTTTTGGATCATTAAAGGAGTGTTTATTTAAGTCACAATAGTATTTACTCCCCTAGCTTGGGGACATGAAGGAATACCCTCTCTGCAGGAGGGACCCTCACCACAGGGGACACAGGCTTGCTCCACATTCTGGGCTTAAAACAAACAGGACACAAAGTGACCGACTCTCAGGGCTGAGATCCCACACTGACTGACAGACAGGGTTCATATTCATTAGATGGCAACATAATTAGTAAAGTACACTCATTGCTACAGGGGACAGGATACAATCTAACAGAATCAACCTCACAAAGGGTTTCAAAAATGTTGTAGAAAAAATAAAAAATAAAATTATATATTTAAAATGATGATTTTCTGCATGATATTCAATTTATGTGAAAATGAATAACAGTTTCAATGTATCAGCCCTGACCTGGAATATATTTATCTATAATTCTATCAGTTGTGATATTGCTGTCACATTTGAAGATGTAATAGGATTCAATATTTGGTCCCTAGCAATGCATATTAAATACTGTGAGAGCTTTTTATTCAAGTAAGAAAGGTGGATTGAAACTGGACTTAAAATTTAAGGTCAAACAGGCTGATGTGGAGTGATTCTCAGTTCGGTTACTCTGGTCTTAACATTGAAATTCGCTTCTAATTCGCTTAGAATTCTCCCTTTTAATAAATCTATCCGTGTATATAATCATTGTAACAAGTCAGTGACAGAGGATGGGATATTAGGATCTGCTGGACACTGACCCACTGAAAGAAACATTATAATAAATACAATTAAACACTGCTTTTAGAAGGCTTTCTCTGAGCTTATTGGAGCGAGTTATAACCGACTTGGAACACTGTATTTTCATGTAAGAGCATTGGAAACATTTCAATTTAGCTAATATTTCAAATCACTTCTCAGCTGGCTACAAGTAAATATTTAGTGACTAAACAGTTTTATTGTAAATAAACAAACCCCCTACAAAATGATGTATACAGATAGGCTATTTGATACATTATTATTCTATATTCTATATAAAATATATATCATGTACATACATAGCTGAAGAAAATTCGATACATATGTTATACCACAGGCTACAGAATGGATAGACCTAAATTAATCTGATCTAGCATTCCATTTTAATGTAATTTAAGTATTTAATAATAGTATATTATTCCTCTAATAGTCTTTATCTGAAAACCCAAATCTTTCATGGTAGCCCAGGGGTAGGAGCTGAGAATTGGAGAATTTAAAGGCACGAGTACCCATTTACATTGCACTTACAATGCTATTGGCCATTCTAGGTAGGGTTCCTGAATTAGTTTGCCATAATGCTCAGCAAATGTTAAAATGACATCTTGCTAATTGGACTCAGAGTTCAGTTGTAACTTTGATTCAGTGGATGATATACATATGTGATACAGATGTAGCCCCGATCAGTTTGTATCTGACAATCCTCCTCACCCCCAGCATTTAGTATAAAGTTTATCAAAAAATCCAAGTGCAGTTTTTCCTGCTTTGAATAACAAACATAAAATAAATAGCATAGCATCCTGCAAAAAATAATTCATTCACCCAAGCAGGCAGAGTTTTACAAATTAATATTCACATTTCGATTCAAATAACAGAATCTTCGATGTTGTTTGTGGGATTAATGCCCTTGTAAATTCGTTAAAATAAATATTATTCCTTACAGGAAAAATAAAAATGTCTAATTTTGCAGATAACCTAATTTCTAATTTTATCCTCTTTTAGAAAAATCACACCCTAAAATAATGAATATTAAAATAATAATTATATAGTTTTATCGAGTGACTGATAAAAGCATAATAAATGTTAAATCAGAATTTATTAGTTTAAGGAAAATAAAAGTAGTTGTGATTCTGTAATATTTAATACAATTACCTGTCTCACAACCCCTGGTGTAGTTAATTGCCAGTTCAGTTACGAGATATGCAATATTTCGTTGTATTGTATAAATCTATTAGACCAGGTGTAGGCATAGAATATGAATTAATTCGATTTATTAAAATAGGAGTGACAGTTCTTAAATACACACATCTGTTTAGGATATAAATTAAATCTATGCCAATTTTACATGACATTTTATTTTATTTATAGTATCCCAAAATTTCTATGTATGGTCCTAATAAAATATACATTGACGAAATATATGTCAAATATATTAAATATTTTAACAATTAAAAATAAACTGCAATTAAACACAGCAGTTATAGGGAGATGAAAACCGACCTCGTTAATTTAAACCGAAATGACAGTGTTTGAATAGATTTGGAGTGGAATATAATATAATATAAATGATTACCAATAATATATTATGACCCCTTAGGTTTAGCTAAAAAAAAAATCTGACATTAAAATATTGTATTTAAAAATGAAATAGAGTGGACAGTACATTGTAATTGAATATTACTCATAATTATTTATATTATTATACTAAAGGCACATCGATCATTTAAAACACATGTATTTTTTTTTTATGCACAAATCCCCCAAATGTGTTTTTTTTTAAATATTTTATCGCTTCCCGTGGGATTTAATGTTAGTGTTGCTAGTATTAACTCTGGAGACTAATTTAGGAATACAATAAATACGATATATTAAATCCATTTTCCACGTAGGGCGATCACTGTGTTACAGAGACTTTTATAACTGTGTGTCACTCCTATGGATGTAGCCAGACACTGGCTGAGTGTGATGGGAGTTAGCTGCAGGATGCCATTAGTGGTGTTCCCCTCTCCCACTCCCCATAATTTGTCCCTGGAGAGATTTTAGCTCATTTACTTCCAATAGATCGTGCAATCTCACAGTATCCACTAATTTACTAAACAGGGATATTACAGGGGAAAAAAGACTTTAAATCTTTTATATTATTACATTTTTGTTATTTCTATTAATTTTGTCACTGATAACTAATGGGTTATTCATTAAAAAATGAATAAAAATGAAAAAGTGCTCTTTATTATTTTTTTCTGCACACACATTCATCACTTTTATTAGGCTATGATATTAACCCATTAGTGAGGACATAAAGTGATCTATGCTTCCCCCCCTCCCCACCAATGATATATATAATGCAAGCTTCACACTCCACCACAAATTAGTGAGTGCACATTCCCGTTCCCACACTCCATACAGATATTAGTGAGTGTGCACACTCCCCTTTCCACACTCCATACAGATATCAGTGAGTGCACGCTTCTCTTCCCACACTTCATACAGATATCAGTGCGTGCACACTCCTCTTCCCACCCTCCTTACAGATATTAGTGAGTGCCCACTCCCCTTCTTACACTCCATACAGACATTAGTGAGTGCACACTCCCCTTCCCACACTCCTGGCCTGTAACCCAATCGGCCTCCTTCCTACTGTCTATGGAAATGTACATACTCCCTTCCCACACTCCACACACTTGTTAGTAAGTGCACACTCCCCCTCCCACACTCCGTACAGATATCAGTGAGTGCACACTCCCCTTCCCACACTCCTGGCCTGTAACCCAATCGGCCTCCTTCCTACTGTCTATGGAAATGTACATACTCCCTTCCCACACTCCACACACTTGTTAGTAAGTGCACACTCCCCCTCCCACACTCCGTACGGATATCAGTGAGTGCACACTCCCCTTCCCACACTCCATACAGATATTAGTGAGTGCACATTTCCCTTCCCACACTCCATGCAGATATTAGTGAGTACACACTCCATACGGATATTAGTGAGTGCACATTCCCCTTCCCACACTCCATACAGATATTAGTGAGTGCACACTTCCCTTCCCACACTCCATGCAGATATTAGTGAGTACACACTCCCCTTCCCACACTTCATACAGATATCAGTGAGTGCACACTCCTCTTCCCACACTCCATACAGATATTAGTGAGTGCACACTCCCCTTCCAAGACGCCATACAGATATTAGCGAGTACACACCCCCCTTCCAAGACTCCATACAGATGTTAGTGAGTACACACTCCCCTTCCCACACTCCATACTGATACCAGTGAGTGCACACTCCCCTTCCCACTCTCCATACAGATATTAGTGAGTGCACACTTCCCTTCCCACACTCCGTACAGATATTAGTAAGTACACACTCCCCTTCCCACATTCCATACGGATATTAATGAGTGAACACTCCCCTTCCCACACTCCATACAGATATCAGTGAGTGCACATTCCCCTTCC